GACCCCCAGCCGGCTTTTTTTTTTTTTTTTTTTCTGGCATGTTCCTGGAAGATCTGTTCTGAGCTTTTTAACAATAACCACAACCTGCGCTCCATTCTGCAACTTTGCATCCGATCTGCACCTGAACGATTTTGAATGCTGACCAATTAGGACCGGGAGAGAAATCTGCCACTTCAAGACATCCTCCCTTAATAAACCGAAAACATGGATGTAAGGTTTTACCCGGCAGCTGCTGGCAATGCCCTGCCCGGAGAATCCCCCAATCTGGACTTTTCCCAGTGTTTAGACTACTACACTTACAAGGTGAATATCATTCTTTTGCTTTCCTTCCTCACTATTTTGCTTCTTTGCTGAAGTCAAAGTTCTAATGCCTCATTTCTTCCCTAGCTACCTGTCTATTGTATCGATGGCCATGAACTGTCATTTTGTTCTCCAGAATGTGTATGTATATTCAGCTCCTCAGCTAGGTGCTGATCTTAAATACTACGTTGTATAACTGATGTGTCATCGAGCTTTTTAATTAATGAGTGCTTGCTATTAGTCCCATTATACATCTAATTAGGGAATGCTGTGGGTATTTAAACAGCACATGCCCTAATTATTGCAGCCTGCTCTGTCTTTTCTACTGAACTTTTTCATGGTTTACATTTTTCTCTCTTTTTCCCCCTCTCTTGATGTCAGCATGAGCTGTATGTGTGCTTAATCCTTTGTCATACTGTAGCAGTGTTTTGACAACAGACAAATATTTGATCTGAATAGATCCACACTGTGTGGAATGATTGACTTGTGTTGTGTATTTATCGTGCCCCCTTGCTCTATTGTTGGGGAAATAAATTAATGTCTTACATCGTATCCAGATCTCAAACTGTTTATACCTCTGCCCTAATTGCCTTTCATAACAAATGACAGCTGGTAAAGAGAAGGGAAGCTAAAGCATGTTTGCTCATAAAAGTTTAATGTATTTTGTTTTTTTGGAGGGGGCAGCTATGATTTTTCCCCTGAACGGGCTTTTGAGGATAGTTTGACAGTAAACTGATTACGTTTTTTTTGTTTTTGTTTTTTTCTTATTTTCTTATTACTATAGTACATTGTAGCGTAGGTCTTGAATCCTCCCCAGCCACAGTATGGCACCCTAAAAAAGTTAGACTTCCCTGACTTACCCACAATCCCCTTCTGCTACTTTTGTTACTACTGTGGTTCAGATCACATGATGACCCGGTGCGTTTGTAAGCCTAATCACTTGAAAAATTATCTGCATATTTTGACATGCACTTTTCCTCCCTGGAGTTTTTATTTCTAACTCGTTACACTTGAACTGCAGGTATATGAAGTTTAATGATATTGCATGTGAGGTAGGCTGTTCCTGAGATTAGTGGGAGACATCCCAAAAAAATAAAGTGCAACAAGGAGGGACATGTAAGAGTTGGGATGGCAGCATGCCAACAGGAGCCAGGGTATTGGGCCATATTGGAGCAGCCCCAAACATGCTAGTGTTCACTTATTCTTGCAGTTTTATCTGTGACATCATCTTGCAATACCATAATACATAATGGTGGGCCCTAATAGTGAGGTTTAACAAACGCAAGTTGCGTGTACATGCGAGTTCTAAAAGAGATCTCAATTGACTGTTGGTAAAGTTTGATATTAACAACGTATATCTGGCGAATGTAACAATTTATGGCACTCTGTTCTATAGAACAATCTACTTCATTACCATGTTCATGTTTTTGATGTATGAGATGTCCAAATATTGTTTGGGAGAACTGGGCACAAGTGAATTGTTGGGCCTACGTGTTTATGAAATAAACAATTGTAGAATATTTTTTTAAACAAAGTCAAATGACAGCACAGGGAACCTTAAATCAGAAATGTATTCTGTCTTTGGAACTGGAAACCCCTTGCTCCCTCTTCATGTTGCTTCTATAAACTGATGTAACAGTAATACCTCCTATACACTTTTTTGGCAGAATCAAACTTCCTCTGGTTATTGGTGCCCCCCTCCATCTTTGGCAGGTGCCATGCAGGATAAGGACTGTGTGCAGCAGAGACAAGCAGTCAGTGCCTCTTACAGATCTCATGTCCTGAACAGGAAGCAGAATGCCACCAGTAATCAGAGGGTGCCCGATGCCGCTAAGTGTTTAAAGGTTGGTGTTCTTATTTTTAGCTAGGGACCACTTATGAAGGGGGAGGGGGGTAGAGGTGCTTAGGTTCCTTGGAAGGCTTAGGTTCACTTTAAAGCTGAACTCTGGCCTTCCCTTTGGTCTTGTTGTAGAGGCTTTTATTTTCTGGCAATTAAATTGCTTACTGATTTCAATGCACACTGTGAACGTCTCATAATGTGCATTAAAAACAGCAAGTCAGAGTCCTCCTCATTTCCTGGCTGGAGGGCATCCACCATCTTCTAGCACTTTCCTCCGTAACCTGACTGTCCCTGGTCACCTGGTCAATTGGATTCCAGGACTTTCAATCAAGGAAGAACATCATCACGTGTGGGCATTACCTATGGCGGTCTGCACGTAAATGCATCCTGTATAGGAATGCTCCTGTCTAGATGGATATCCAGCCATTAAGGCATATTCTTATTTGAATTAGTGCTCCCAAGAGCAAGGGCACTGCCTGCATCAGGACTAAAGGCTCTTGAGAGGAGGACTGAGACAGGGTGATCTATCTTCAGGAAGCTATGCACAGCACCCTGCTGGGCCCTCCCACCAGCCATCATCTATCTGCATTGCATAAAAAAAGCACAGTGATGACATCACAGGGTCTAAACTAAAGTATGCAATGAATGACATCACTGGGTCTAAAATATTGTATGTAATAAAAACCAAAAGGTTTTATTTAAAAAAAAAAAAAAATGTACTTGTTATGTTGAGAGGGGGAGCGGGAACCAGGGAAGGCAGAATATAAGAAGATTAAACTATAGCTTTGACATTTCCATTGTGCACACTGTACTGTATATCATTTGTTAGTACTGCCACACAGAATCAAATTGATCACAAACATAGGATTGTTCTTTTGAATATTCGCTCTGTTGAACTGAGAGTCATAAACTATGAACCGCATGGACCACATACTGGCTACAAAATCCATTTATAGCTTTATACTCTCTTGAAATTGTGAATTTAGAAAAATTCAGCTGTATTTAAAGTGACACTTTTCAGGAGTTCTTGAAGAGATCCTTAAATCATCTTTGAATTGGTGCTGACACTGTCCTTCCTTCTGGAGGGTGGCTACTTTTCTTCCCCATGGTCCCTGTGTGTGTTGTAAGGTAGCCACCGCTCCAAGCTCACTCCTGTGATGGACTACAATCTTTAGTTTACAATTTTTTTTTTTATAGAGATTGTAATCCAGCATGGGAGGGAGCTTGGACTGGAGCTTGCAGCAGTGGCTACTTTACAACACACCATGGGGAACAAAAGTGGCCACCCTCCAGAAGGAAGGACAGTGTTGGCACCAATTCAAAGATGATTTGAGGATTTACAGCTGAGTGATACACAAATAAGATACATTTATGTTAATAGTTAAAGTACTTGAATGCATTTTTAAGATATAACTTCTGAGTTTAGTGTCACTTTAACAAAGGAGACTGATACATTTTTATGCCTTTTTAAAGGCGAACTATGGGGTTAAGGCTTTTCCCCATAGTTCTCCTTAGGGTAACGGGAGGACACAAACTAGCGTCCTCCCGTCACCCTAGGCTCAGTATACCGCGAGCTGTAGCTCGCGGTATACTGAGACGCCGCAGCTGCTGCTCGTGGTATACTGAGACGCCGCAGCTGAAGCGGATCCCGACAATTAGAGGCAGAGCCAGCTGTACCCGCCCCCTCCCCTGTCCGTTCCACCAGTCAGCTCTGGCGGAGCAGGGAGCCGGCAATCCAGCCCCTCCCCTGTCACAGGATCGAGAGGTGAGCGAACGCCGGTATATGTTCGCTCACCTCCCGATCTACTGAGCCGACCTGTGACAGTCTCATTGTAGAGGTCGGCTAGAACTCGTAGTTCTCCTTTTAATGAGAACCAATCCCTACTGTGCTTATGCAGGAATCTGAACATTAAGGCTAAAATTATAAGAATTCTGCAAGTTTTCTAGTAACACAGTTATATTTAGCTTTTTTTTTTTTTTTTTTTTTTAGCATTTCATCTTTTATTGAGCATTTTTCAAGACATAGCTTTTTTTTTTTTAGGCTGTCTGAGGATGACGTTAGGTGCTAGAAGGCTAATCCCTGTCAACTGCCTGAATGTACGCTGACACATGCTGTCTTCCAGCTATTACGTAAACTTAGCAGTATCAGACACACATCCATGTAATTGCTTACAAGGCGATTAACTACACGGTTTTGTTATGTAATAGTTATGTACAATCAGGAGGCAGTATGTGTATATCACCATGAGGTTAGATAGCTGGCAGAGCTGCAGCTGTCAGACTTCAGCTGACCTCTCATCCCTGAGCCCTCAGGATCTATAGTCATCCTCAGGCAGACAGAATATATTAAATTAAATGTTTCATGATAACCTTGCGCAGTAATAAAGACTGTATGTACTGTATACACATACATACAGTCGTGTAATCGGGAAAGTACACCCTTGAATTGTTTTGGTTTTAAGTATCGGGTCATAATAAAAATCATCTGATCCTCAGCATGTCTTAAAATTAGGCAAATATAACCTTAAATGAACAACAACACAATATATTACACTATATCATTATTTATTTTGCAAACATAAAGCCAAAATGGATAAGCCATTTTAAAAACCAAGTACACTTTATGATTCAGTAGCTTGTGGAACCACCTTTAGCAGCAATAACTTGGAGGAATCATTTTCTCTATGACTTATCAGTCTCTCAAATCGTTGTGAAGGAATTGTGGCCCACTCTTCTTTACAACACTGGTTCAGTTCATTGACGCTTGTGGCATTTGTTTTTTTGCACAGCTTTCTTAAGGTCCCGCCACAGCATTTTAATCTGGTTTCGGTCTGGACTTTGACTGGGCCATTGCAACACATTGATTCTTTTCTTTTTTTCAGCTATTCAATTGTAGATTTGCTGGTGTGCCAAACAATTTAAAGTCCCATCATTCTACAGTGCCTAAGAATATTCACAAATAGAAAACATTCAAGACAGTCGCCATTCTTCCCAGCAGTGGATGTCCCAGCATATTCACCCCGAGGTCAGACTGTGCAATGCTCAGAAGCTACATCTCAGGCTCTACAGGCCTCTGTTAGAATTTTAAATATTAAAATTTATGACTGTACATTTAGAAAAAGACTGAACAAGCATGGTTTGTTTGGCAGAGTTGCCTGTAGAA